CCTTTCCCTCCCGTCAATCCTTCATGTTATTCTCCCTTCGGGCCCGGTTGTCAGAATGTGCTTATGTCAAGTTGACGCCGGGGTAGTGTTTGCCTTCGCTTGCCGCAATATAAATCCACTTCTGTATGAATATAATTACATTGACATGGTTGAGCACAATCTGAACACTGACTTTACAGGTGGCCATGTTTGCTTTATTATGGTGAAGCACAATTAATGCCACATTTTAATTGTTTCATAAAATCTTTCAACTTATGAGCTACAAAAGGTTCAGCCAGTGTTTTTTTTTTTTTTTTTACACCACTGATTAAGTTGTTGCAGTAGTCTTGCAGAATACCCTTGGAGCAAAAACCTTAAACTGGGCAAGCTGACAGCCTTTAAAAGTTTGAAGAAGCTTGAAGGAACTAAGTTTGTTGCTTCAGGTTAATAAAAGAGGCGCAACTTGTTCCCGCTACAGGCAGTTGCAGTTGTATTTGCGCAGTTGTACTTAAAAGCAGTTGAATCAGTTAAATGAAGGAAATTTTATGATTTCTGGTAATCTTGAGACATCATAATATACATCGGCATACTCCATTCTCTCGTATTGAACTGATGCAGTTGAGTCACTGGATTTATTCGCCCACTTTTATTTGCTGCATCATAAGTTTGTTTCATATATTAATAGACTGAAAAAGTCGGAGTTGTTACGGCCATTAATACCCAGCATAGCTGTCTTACGATATCTTGTGGCTGTAATGTGTCCAAGACACCGAAGGGGAAAATTTGCACAATTGTGCTTAGACGACTGACTACATTTTGTCTCATTCTGTTCGATTTTGAGTCAGTCCCAGTGATGGTTGCACTGTTTTTTTTTTTGTTTTGTTTTGTTTTTTGTGTCCTGATACATTTTCTCGCCCTCTGTGCTGACGATTGTTCAGAAAAAAAATGGACTACCGTATCTTTCTGTTTTTGGAAGGGCCTCTGAGATAACTGACTTTATGTAACTGCTGAGGAATGCCTCACTAAAAGGGATCATCAAATGGGAGTGACATTAGGGCGTATAAATTAGTCCAAGTAGATGAAGCACAGCCTCGTAAACTATGTACACATTTGATATGATCAAGCCACCGAATAGGGACCGATGTTTTTATTTGTGCATCCCCGGTATATAAAAAAAAAAAGTCTGTTTTCTTTTTTTTTTTTGTTGTTGATTTTTGATTCCTTTTTTGTCCTTCTGCTATTATGATGAATTTTGTATGCACATTTTAATCTAAGATTACAGATTACATATAACATTAAAAGCTAAAAGCCCAATACTTTTGCCAGTTGTAATCGGTACCTGATGTTGCTATAATAAGACAGAATCTTTATTTATTTGGGGAAGGAGGGGGAGGGGTTGTTCTGCGCAGAGTAACTGATTTTGATTGAATAATTATTTTCTCATGATATTTGTGGGGCGGGGTCAAAATAAGAAATGGAAGCGACTGTGAAGCATGTTTTCCCTTCCTCTTAACACTCTGTTCAGACTGTTCGAATGCCTCAGACAGGTTTGAATTGTTAAAATCTAGTGAGAATTGGATCACAAGGGGGGGATATATAAAACTCATCACGTTCTGTTACTTTTAAATAGTTATCCGCATTCTTTACATTGCTTTGAAGTGTTTGAATCCAAACCAGCCAATGGTGATACAACACTGTTTTAGTAATCCTCAATGCTAGAATTAAGGTGCACATACTATATAGTACACTAAAATCTACTTGACTACAACATACGATAAAGCAGTAAGTAATCAAGTACCGGTAATTTTATTTTGGACCACTTTGAAATAATTCTGAAATTGAAAGAAAACAATGGTTAACATGAAGCTAAAAATTGGGGCGCATTCGATGAATTATTTATATCAGTCAATTTTCAAATTTGAGGAGTGATGATGATTTTTTTTTTCTTTTCATCCACTGTATTTATTTTCAGTGTATTTTCTGTAAAGGGCTCACCATCTGTCCCTTATGTGGCAGTGTTTTTCACAGAACGGGTTTAGTGGCGTCGTTCAAAGTGTTTTTGTGTGGAAATTGACAAGTGTTTTGAAGCTTTGGTCAAAACCCATCATCATAATGATGTTATCGGCCAACATTAAGTCTTATTATTGTTTTTTTAACAACTAAAGCACTGTGTTAAGAACAACACACATGCACATTTTTTTTACCTAACAAATACATATTGATGTTCTGTCAATGCTCACATCCACTTATGACTGTGATTTTTTTTTTATAAACGTAATATGTTCCCTCCTCATGTGTCCACACACATTCGCTCAGAGAAAAAAAAACATGAATGCAGTATTGTGTACATTTATTGTCTCATTTGTATCCTATGCTTCTGACTGAGACCTACCATTTGTTTAAAATAAATGGCAAAGACTGCCTACCATATATGGTGTCTTATGTCTGAATTCTAAAGAATTCGAGCCTTGAAATTAGAGTCTGATTAATTGTAATAGCACCCAAATAGCCTACTACGATACTCTCCGGATGCGAGGCAGTGTAGAACCATTCTATAATTGACAGTAGCGATGTGTGTCCAGTGGTGCGAGTTACTCTTTTGCAGGACTTTCCGGGGGTTAAATGAGGAAAGGTGAGCACCTTCGAGTCATCACTAATTCAAATCAACAAACTGTCATGTGATTGTCCTCCCCCCTCATGTTTCTTTTTCAAAAATTCATCGCTTTTTGATTCTGCACAAAAGGGCCCAAATAAGTACAATGTGGCAACGTGTTATTTCCCTCCATGTCGCTCTCTTCGTTTGCTTGACCTTTCAGAATACGAACTTAGATTAACAAAGAACAATCAGTAAGGATCTCTTTTTAACATTTTCGGTCAAGTATCCCAAGTACATCCTACTGATGAATTGTCCATCTCCCCCTTCCTCTCGCCTGCAGATGGGGTTAGCGCGGCACACGGATATTTATTTACTGAATGACATGGATGTGGACACTTTGGTGGAGAGATAGGAGAACCCGTCGCGGATGAAAGACGCACCGTGATGGAGATTCAGAACACTGATAGAATGACAGCAGCATGGCCAGTATTTTCTGCATCTTCACCTGTTCAGTGCCTTCCGCTTTAAAGTGCCCTTAAAATGTCCGTTGTCATTGTTGTTGTTGTTTGAATCAAATGCCTCTGCAAACGTAGCCAAGCTTCTGATTACAAAGAGCCCATGTTGCACTTTTGTTTTTATTTGTTTCCTTAAAATGATGTGAATAAAATGAATAATATGCAGCAGAAAGGGGGTACCAAAAACGCCGCTGCAAATCCAGTCTTTCCTGAAAACAGACAGACAGATAGATAATAAAAGGCTAATTATATTAACATACTGTATGTTAAATGGGTCTGTCAAAAAAAAATACATATATATATATATATATATATATATATATATATTCCTAACTGCTTTTCCCTCACACGCTTTGTTGTTTAAAGCAGTTTGAAAACAACAATAATGAATGAGAATGCTGAATAATGTGTTAAAATCTCTCCAAACTCCTACCGTTTTCTAGCTTTTCCAGTTGAGCAGTATCCATTCAGCAAACATTGACTTAAAGTAGTATGAATAATTGTGAGCTTATTTCGTTCCCAAGAAGAGGATTCAGAAAAAATAGCGAATAACTTAAATGCGAAAAATCCCATTCAAAAAAAAATGTTCATGTGTGCCTCGCCATCCCCAAGTCAATATTGAGGACTTTGCTATTTTTTTTTAATTTTGTGTGTGTGTGTGTGTGTGTGTGTGTGGAGGGGGGGGTCGGGGGGAGAGATTTTTCTATCATCAGAGCTACAGTATGTGCGCATGATATGCAGTACAAATTATAATTAGATGACAGCTCATATTTCTACATGCATATTTGAAAAGTGTATGTGGCATTTTATAGTACAGTAGATATTTTTTTTAATGCAGCGTAAATAATACATCTGTTGGATGCTTGTTGAATTTATGCTAGGAAACCTGCTGAATATTTAATATGATTGAATTTGGTCATCTCATGTGACCACTGTTACTTGGGAATTCATTAATATATTTGGTAATTTATTCTTCGTCCAGTTATTCATGCGAAGTGCAGGGAGAAAAACGAACATATGTTCGGGGTCTGCTGAATATGACAAATCAAGTCTAGTTTTGCAATGTGGGTGGTAACATTCGCTGAGCCGTTATGGTGCATAATGTGGCCTTTTTTGGTTCAGTATGCTGGGGCACTGAAGTGTCAGCTTTACAATATAACCTGCTGGTCAGTCGGTTATCATGTTGTGATCAATATGTGATCATTTTTAATAAACTCATGTCCTGAGTTCAGCATAACATTAAATGAAATGATGGAACCCCAGAATGCAGCCTTGTTTAAAGGGTGTATTTATTTGACTAAATCCAAAAGGGCCTCCACATGTGTGCCTCACATCTAAAATCATCGGTGCACAAAAAAAAAAAATGTTTATGCAGGTTTTATTACTGGACCAAATGATATTTAGTTTTTTTCTTTTGAAAATGCATCCCTGTTTTTTTCCCCCTTTAACTAAATTTTGTCTTGGGAAATATATTTATATATTTATGGTCTGTCCCACTTGTTGGGTGCATAATTGTTTTTATGTTCATGGGAGGGAAAAGGAAAATCATCTTTGTTAAGTGTTGAACTAATTCACACTTCAAACAAATGCCACTGTGACCAGGATAAACGAAATGATACAATATATACGACCATATGCAGTGTGTATATATATATATATATATATATATATATATATATCATTTCATGGCAACATGATAAACCAGCGATAAATACAAGAAACTGACAGTTTTTGAATGATATAATTTTATATTACCACCCAGTATTGACACTGGTGTGGTTCGCGTTTTTTTTTAAATCATGGTTACATTTATAGATGTCTTCCTTGTGTTATATATTTTTGTAATTTAATAAACATGAAACGAATGTGCATTTTGTGAATTCAAACGTCTACTGTCTTCACTACGTCATGTCAATGTATGTGTTGGAGCCTTTTGCCTCTTCTGCGTCTCCTGGCCGCAGGGGTCGCTGTCTCCCATATTGACGTGTTGCGCTGCAAGGTGCTACGTCACCACATTTCGCCGAACAAGATGAGCGTACAAATCTCTCATATCACCGCCAGCATCTGGTGAGTTTCACCATAACTCTGTGCGTCCACACCACTTAAAATTTCTATTTCAGTAGCGTTCGCCTAATTTGGTGCATGTACCCGCAGTATGCTATCTCTTGCTAAAAGAAAGCCGGCTAACTTCAGCATCGCAAGTTTTTCTGCTTGACATAACGGCACCCCCCCCCCCCGTTGTCATTATTGTATTAATTTAAATAGACGCGACATGAGGGAAGTGGCTCTCCTGCTTTCACCCTGTGTGCTCTTCTTCCTCCTGCTGAGCTCCTGCCAGACAGCCAGACAAGGACAAGACATCCGATGTGGAGGTTGGTGTCTACCTGCGCCTTGCACCTTTTATGAATGGGCCATTGAATGTGCAAATGCCAAATAATAAATGGTGCATGTACCCCCTTCAGCTTGCAGGGCTCTGGTGGATGAGATGGAGTGGGCCATCTCCCAAGTTGACCCCAAGAAAATGATCCAGACCGGCTCCTTTCGAATCAACCCAGACGGCAGTCAGTCCATCAGGGAGGTCAGTGTGCTCTTCTCATGATGGTAAATGGTCACGGTAACTGCAATGGTTGTAATGCACATCTGGCGCCAGGTTCCTCTGGCGCGCTCTGAGGGAAACCTCCTGGAGCTGATGGAAAGCGTATGTGAGAGGATGGAGGACTATGGCGAGCACACAGACGCCGCCAGCAACAGGAAGTCATACATTCGGGTCAAATCTCGCAACGGTGAAGCCATGGACCTGTCAGAGGCAACGCTAGACTCAAGAGTCACCGCCAGTTTAAAATTTGCAGTGAGTGCCATGCTCTAAAGGTTTTTTTTTTGGTTTTTTTTAATCGTCGTTTGATTTTTTTTTTCCATTTTAGTTCTTTCATTCATGAAAACATTCATCATGCAAATTATTATATGATGACTTTTGCCGTGTGAAATGATTTACCTTGATCTCTTGTGACAGTGCGAAGCCATTGCTGAGCAGCACGAAGATGAACTCATCGAGTTCTTCTCTCATGAGACAGAAAATGTCAAAGACAAACTCTGCAGCAAGCGAACAGGTACAAGTGCAGATTGAGTTTTTTCAGACACAAATGAGAGCCATTTATTTATTTGTTTGTTTATTTGGCTTGCATTCTTGGTTTTGTGACTTCTGGTGTCACCTTTTTTTCCGATTCATTCTGTTTGAAGTAGTACAATTCAGTACGGAAACTAAAAAAAAAGTTTACAGTGGAATCTCAAGTCCAAATGTATATAAGGGCGTACATTTCAGAATTTGACAAATAACGTGACACAAAACCTCAGTCTGTCATGCCGACTGAACCCTAGATTGGTTTTGATCCTTTGTTGTTTTTTTATGTGTTAATATTAATCGCTGTCAAATTATTTATTTTTTTGTCTTTTTTTCCTCAAGAAGTAAAATATTTGTTATATTTCATATGCATGATGACGTGTCATGAATACCCTTGTTTCTGTTTCCAGTATTTCTTAAAGCTGCTATTTCACTGAGTGGCAAATGCTTGTTCATGTTTGCAAACGTAGCCAATTTTGGGTTTGCATCAGGGTTCGTACGAGGTTGCCATGATGTTAACACACAGTTCTTACTTGTCCCGAACAGTTTGAACATGTTCAAAATTTCACACGTTCAACTTGAGAGTTTCCACTGTGTGATCGATGTCATCATTGTATTTTCTCACTGCATTCAAATTGTCTGTCCCTGTCAGACCTTTGTGACCATGCTCTGAAAATCCCACATGATGAACTTTGACATCCTCACGCCATGGCGACCGTCTCCCCTCAGCTGATAATGGCCGGGTCACGCCATGGCAGTGGCGACGAAGGTGAAAGATGTAGTCATGTATGAAAATTCCATAGATTCCATATCCTCAGAAGAAGTTGCATCATTCATGGAGAATAGGGGGTTTGCGTTAATATATTTTTTTTCAATTCATCATCCCTTATATCTCTACCTCACGGTCAGTCTCTCTCTTGAATTAGATTAGCACATTATTTTTACTGTGAAACTGTTCAAATTTAGTTGCGGGATTTTTCATGAAGTACACTGCCTGCTTTAGAATGTTTATGTTAGAAATAGAACATAAAATATTATAATCCTTTGAGATGTAGATAAATTCCTTCCCAGGCTCTCCGATCTAAATTATGGGACTTTTCTTCCTGATGTAAATTAAGCAACTAGGTACTGTACGCCCGCAGTTTGTCCCTCCTCGAAAGACAGAAAAAAAGAAGCTTCACTGTTGAATTCATGTTTCACAGCTGATCGCACTCGCCAAATATTTTGCTGTCAGTTTTCTATTTTCACCTGTATGAACAACCCAGTTTTTATATAAACTTTGTCAGATTTCTGCATCTGTGTTGCATTTGTTATTCAGGAATTATTCTATGCTATTTTTATTAATCCACTCCTTTTGTTTATATATTTTAAGACTAGAGAACAGTTTTTTTAAACAGATCATCCTGTTTTAAATGCTAAAAAAAACAACTTTAACTACAATTAGACAAAGTGTGTGGTTTAGATATTTTATTTCCATTCTGTTTTGATGACCTCAATATATTTCTGCAATCAAATGTAAAAACTGTAAAATTATGAATAACATACACAGACCCAGTAAAAGAGCAGAATAAAAAAAAAATCTGCCAGTCCCAAAATAATAATTCACATATTTATTGACAGTGTCAAAACATTTATTGTTGTAATTTTGGTCTCAGGTATCCAAATAAGATGTCACCAAACATTGAATTTATAGTTTTTAACTTTTTTTTTTTTTGCTAGCAAACCATGTTACAATTATACACGCAACACATTTTATACTGTACTATACTTGAGATGTAACGAGCGAAAAGCCATCTCTGTCAACCTCATATAGATACAACAATCATGCAGATTAATTCCCGTTTTAGTCAGTGGGTTGAGCTTTAATAAAACCACATTTGTCGCTAATTATCGCTAATTGTCGGGTATTTCGTTTGATATCACAATAAAGTCTGTGTGCATTTTCATCATACGGTAATTACACTACACAATTTCCTCGTCCTTTGTCGTCCCATCCTCAACCGCGGTTTGGTACTCCTCACCCTGGTCACATGTTCTCTCATCTCCATCGCCTTCTCCCTCTTGTCCACCGGCAATATTTTGTTCCTTTTCAACCAGGTGACATCTCCCACCCTCCTCCTCTGTTTCATCCATCTCGTCCTCATCTGCTATAATGACCGTGTCCCCAGAGTCATGGCTGCTGGCGCTACTACAAGACAGCGTGTCGTCCTCGCGCCATGGCCGCGGGAGCATTTGTGCAACCTCGTTGCCCTCGAACACCCTGAGCTCCTCAAAGACTCCCTGTTCGAAATCAACACCTACACTCTCAGGATCCCAAAACTCCAACGTTTCCTCTTCTTCGTTCTCGGAGTCAGGCGCTGTATGCTTCCTGATGCGATTCACTGCATCCCACAGGGAGTTAGGAAACTGAAACTCGGCTCCCTCGGGCATATCTAGGGCGTCACTTCCACTTTCCTCAGGAGGAGGAGGAGGTGGTGGTGGAGTAGCAGGTGAAAGCGGCGCAGAATTGTCAGGAGAAGGGGTGTAGTCCAGCAGAAGATCAGAGAGCGTTTCAGGAAGTCCAACAGCGGAATCATGGTTTTGAGGTGAAGGGCAGGCTGATTCAGTTCCTGAATGAAGGGCAAACTCTTCACTTGACTCTTGTGGTGGAGGGGAACTTTGGGGTTGAGCCTCGTGGTTTGTGGTTGAAGGTAAAAGAGGAGATGATTTTATACTTGGGGAAATGTCACACTGACACTCAGCTGTCTGTTCCTCGACACCTGTCAAATCCTTGTTGTCCTCAGCCGCCTTCGTGTTAGTCTCTTTCACCTTGACATCGTCTACTGCTTGGAAGTCAAAAAATTTGCCCTCCTCCTCTTTACTTTCACTCGGGGTCACGTTCTCTGAATCCTCATCTGGACCATCGGTCTTGTTCTCTTCTTCAGTTGGAATGCAAATGAGTTGATCAGTGTTGAACTCTTCGGGCTTCTCTTGGAATATTCCGGGATTCAGGTCTAGAAGTTCCAGAGCAATATCAATGGCATCTTTATTGGCGGTGGAGGATCCTACCTGATGATGCGCCACTAATTCATTTGTCCCCTCATCGGGAGATTCCTGAAGGACATTGCTGAGCTCACCATGCTGTGATGATTGTCCCTTTTCGGCTTCCTCACAAACCTCAATATCAGGCATCGCCGTGGAAGTTATCACATCAGAAGGCAGAGTGGAAGGGTCAGCGAAGGGAATGAGAGTTGGTACATTCAGCAACGATATTGTTCCCGGTTGAAGTGTGCAATCCACTATTGGATCGGGCATTGCTGAGTCAGCATCTGGAGCTTCCTCAATCTCTGACTCGGAGAAACAAGGGAGTGACTGCATAGCTAAAAGTGACGACTCAAGATTCAAGTGGGACTCTTGGGCATCTTTTGCAAGTAAGAGAGGATTAAAAAGGCCGGGAGATTGAGTGACATCGTTGTTCATGTCACTCTGCTCAGGGGTGGCTGCTTCTGGAGTGGACCCACCTGGAGGAACCTCCATCATGTCAACCTGATCCATATTGTCGGTTTCTGATTGGCTGTTAGTCCCGTTTTCTTGCAACACATTGGACACCTGCTGCTGGGATCCTGAAAAGTTATCACAATCAACACTCGCATCTGTATCTTCAGCAACAGACCTCCTTTCCCGACTCGTGTCTTGCTGGTTCTGTGACTGTTCCTCCTTGGCGGTCGTTTCATCTTTGTTCACTTCTAGTGAATCTGATCCCTTGTCTGCATCTGTCACGGGTATGTCAGGAGACGACGTTGCATGAAGGTGGATACCAAGGATTCTTTCAGCTCGTTTCTCCAAAGATTCTCTCGCGGTATTTTCACTCTCACACTCAAGAGTTGTCGTCTCTGCAAGGTCTGGGTTCAGGCTATTTTTTGGTCTTTGGAAGTTTAATTCATCTGAATGCAAGTCTGAGCTAAGAAGACTGCAGGATTGGTTGGAGGAGGGGGGACGATGTTCTGGACTCTGCTCTGTTTTCGTTTTGGATCCCAAGAAGTGAACGTGTTCCTTCTTGGGAGATTTAATGAGTTCCATTTTGACGACAACGCACGTTGTGTCAATCACAAGGAGATCTTGCCCCTCCTCTGTTTCGGGGCGTTGCTTGATGTCGAGTCGTCTTACTTCCATGCCAAGAGGACTCCGAGAAAGAGTCCTTCTCGTGAAACTTGGCTCCCTCCACAAGGGATATTTGGCAGACGCAGGCGATACCGACGGAGTGGCTCGTCTCTCAACGGCACGCTCGGTATCATTTATGTTCTCGTTGAATGGGCACCCCTCTGTCTTGTCGGGCTTTGGTAGTACTTCCTGTGGCAGGCCAGGGTTGAGGCAGCTCTGTGTCATCTTTCTGGATTTGAGATCTCTGTTCTCAAAGGTCAGGACAGACATCTGTGCGAGTGCCTTGTAGTCTACTTCATCTGCCACCTTAGAAGTTTGGATAGTTCCACTACTGCTGGGTGAACATTTTTCCGGCTCTTTGTTTGGGGTGTTTGCTTGTTCACAAGGTGTCGAGGATGCGTGTTCTGTAGGGCCTGCTATGCGAGACACTAAACAGAAGATAGTCATCCCACCTGTCTTCTTGCTTAGTCTGAATTTGCGCCCTTCGATCACTTTGGATGACGATTCCTGGATAAGCGTGGTCGTCTTAACTTCTTTGGAGATTTGTGGACACGTCAAAACCTTCTGTGGAATATTGACATTGTGGAGCGCCGGATTTCCCTGGGAGGCATGTCCTTCAAACTCGGGGGATGTTGTCTGTTTCCTGTCTGGTTTCTCTTGTGTCTTCTCAACCCGGTCCCAGTGTTGGGGCACCACGAGTGAACCTTTATGTGGGCTGTTGTATGGAGGAGGTGCGATGTAACCAGGGGGCTGACCAAACATTCTCCTTTGGATCCTTCCCTTCATGTCCATCACGTGGCTCGCATCAGGGGCTTGCGGTGGACTATAAATTTGTTGCTTGACCGCTCTCTCCCACTGTCCCGGATCATCTCTCGTGTTTGCACATTGTCCGATTTGCTGCGGCGCTGCCATGCAAGACTCAATCCCGGTTCTTCTGTTCTCCAGCAGTCCATGCGAGGCCCCCCTCAGCTCCGCCTCTATCCGCCTCCTCCTTGGAAGGGAATGGCTGTAACGGGCAGCCCAGGCTTCCAGCTCTCTGTAGCTACTGCTGTCCCTCTTAGATGACTCCCTGTAACGTACAAGATTCGCGGGCTCCCACCTCCTTTGCCATCCCTCTCTCATGTGGTCTCTCTCGTGTACTCCAACCACCTGTCCAGCTGTTGTCCATTCTCGGGCGTCACGAGAGCCGTCGTCTCCCATGTTCTGCTGAGAACGCAGAGCCCCCGAAAAACAGTGCTGGGCAGAAGTAGAGGCACACACCCGTGACTCAGTCCAGTTGGTGTGATCCAGTAGCGTTCCTCTTGTTTTTGATCGAGGTAACGTCCAGTAGCTGGACTCTCTTGCATGATTCCACTGCTCTTCGTGGTTAGCTGGGTTATAATGTGTTGCCTGATGTCTGCCATGATGGCTGTGTGGATAAACACATTGGAAAAAAAAAAGGTGACACAATGTAGTGTGATCTTCATTGATACTGTTTTCTCACACTGCCTGGTCGAAAATGTGAAACAATTTGGAATTGGTTTATGAAGAACATGCCTCTGAAGTCACACAAAATGTCATTTGTCGTACCGTCACACATCACTGTTGTTCATGTTGGGCACAAAATATTTTGTTTTCGTTTTACCATCGGCCTTTCAGTTCTTTTAACACTTCTGACGGTTGAACATGAAGTCGGCTTGCTTTTTGGCAACCCTAAAAAATGTTAATTATTGACCTTTAAGGTACTTCCGAAAAGTCAAATGGTTGGCCTGCGTCAAGCAAAGAAAACAAGTCACAAATTAAAAACTGTCCAATTCCATCAATAAAGCATGCAAGCAAATATCTTCTTCGGGGAAGTCTGAGCACTTACTTGGTTTCACAAAATGCCAAAATGCAACAATGCAAACAACCACCACCACACCAGGCAATATTACTTACTGTCTGCAAATACTTACTCATATGTATAAATTCTGCCACGAACTGTATCAAATCTGGTGTACTGAGGCAGAAGCTCTTGATTCTTAGGCCATAAATCCATAATGATTACTTGATCTAAAATATGAAGGAAGATGATGTCATTTCTTTTATTTGCAAGGCACGATTTAATTTAATCAGGCTACACCGTTCAAGTTTCGTTCCTTAAAAACAAAATAGTGTGACACATACCTTCGGACAGTGATAATAATTTCCTCTCTGCTTGTGAAGTACGACATGAGAGGTCCAAATAGGACAACTTGTTTTAAAGACGTAGAGGTGGTCCGTCTCCCTCCCACCCGATGCAAACACACACACACACATGCACAAACACACCCTCCGTCACCTCCCTCTGATTTCACCAGTGTTATGCCATCAGGTGTTTTGAAACACAAAAACAGACCCAAAAATTTGTAAAATGAAAAGGTTCTTTTTATTAGTCGTATTTTACCGTTGTCATGAACCTATTACATATATACAGGGACATGTATATAAAGTCCACGTCATCTTTCCCTAATTTTTCCCATTTAATGATGACTAAACGCCCCGCTCAGCGTGATAGAAGCCACATGGAAACGGGGGATCAATTGCTTTGTCGACTCAATTGTGGCACATGGCGAGAAGGCCAGCGGATGCCTCGCCTCCCTTTTCTTCGGAACTCTCCAGCGTGATAAACAGGCTTCCAAAATATGAAGGAAGATGATGTCATTTCTTTTATTTGCAAGGCACGATTTAATTTAATCAGGCTACACCGTTCAAGTTTCGTTCCTTAAAAACAAAATAGTGTGACACATACCTTCGGACAGTGATAATAATTTCCTCTCTGCTTGTGAAGTACGACATGAGAGGTCCAAATAGGACAACTTGTTTTAAAGACGTAGAGGTGGTCCGTCTCCCTCCCACCCGATGCAAACACACACACACACATGCACAAACACACCCTCCGTCACCTCCCTCTGATTTCACCAGTGTTATGCCATCAGGTGTTTTGAAACACAAAAACAGACCCAAAAATTTGTAAAATGAAAAGGTTCTTTTTATTAGTCGTATTTTACCGTTGTCATGAACCTATTACATATATACAGGGACATGTATATAAAGTCCACGTCATCTTTCCCTAATTTTTCCCATTTAATGATGACTAAACGCCCCGCTCAGCGTGATAGAAGCCACATGGAAACGGGGGATCAATTGCTTTGTCGACTCAATTGTGGCACATGGCGAGAAGGCCAGCGGATGCCTCGCCTCCCTTTTCTTCGGAACTCTCCAGCGTGATAAACAGGCTTCCCTTTGCTGAACAGAAAGTCAGTACATCAGCAGAGTGAGGTAGAGAGCGGATGAAGCATCAGAAGCAGACAGCAGGCCAGAGGCCGAGCAATCTGTTGATGTTGCCAGAATAGTGGATGGGGATGGGGGTGATCATTGTTATGGCCGGATTATCTCTTAGTTACACGATAGAAACATGGAATACAATTTGGAGTTTAGCTAATAAAAAAAAATGCAAAAGTCCAGATATATACCAGTATTCTCCATTTAAACGTAGTTTTTAACAATATAGAGCACATTGAGTTACCTGGTGGATGAAATGCGAAATGGGACTAAGTGTGACGTAGGAAAGTATATGCTCATTACAATAACAGCTATGTTCATGATTAACTTCACAAATTAATTTTACCAAGCAGATGCTAACGTGCAAAGTGTCCAAAAGTTTAAGGGCTGGTGTCAAAAAAAAACAAGATGTGGACCAGATAATCAACCGCCACGTCAACAAACAGTTCCTATGCTGTTTGCTTTGTTCAATGCCCGCCAAGTCAGGAGAGTTGTGGCGAGACAACCTGTGGCTGCTTTCACCCTACCTGAGCATCTGACACTTCCTGGTCAAGAATGTTCCCGTGCTGGAGCGACCACCCAACATCCCTTGGAAATTCATATACGTATCAACAATAACAATTAATAATCAATGAAATGTAATAAAATGCCCACCTCTAATTTGAATATCAAATGATCACATCTTCTGACCGACCCAACAGTCCTCAAGAAGTAGTTACACAACTACAGTCATTACCTCCATCATGAAGATTATTTTCATCATTTCCTAAAGAGAATTAAGGTCACATTAACAGTCCAACATAAAATGTGGAATGTGCTTTCTTTGTAAAAACAAAACTGTACCGAAAATCCATCCATCCGCTGACAATGGGCGAGAAGCAGGGTACACCATGAACTGGTCACCAGCCAATCGCGAGGCACACATGGACCAACAACCATTCACACTCATTTTCACACCTAACTTAGTTTAAAATTATTCTACGTGTTTTTGGAATGAGGGAGGAAACACAGGAAGGCCTGAGCAGAGATTCAAACCCAGATCCTTTCAACTGTGAGGTGGATGTACTAACCACTAAAATGCTGTGCTGCTCTATAAAAATATTGAACTAAAATTTTAACATTAAGATATAAAAGTGACAATGTGACGATCGCTTCTTATCCAAAACATTTCAGTCATGACTCGCCTCGCTATGGTAAAAAAATTCAAGAAGAGCAAAATGTCCGTGCTCTTATTGGTCTTTTCTAAGCGACGCTCTGTAAATATTAATGTTTAGATGGTCTTCACGGTGCATAAGTTGTACATAAAATCTCCTTGGCAGATGTTCTTCAAAAAAACTCGGTGTCTTGTGCTCTTTCCGCATTTTGGACGAAAGGTAAACCGCAGCCTTATTCTTGCACAGGTGAGCCAACGTGTCCACTAACAGCGGATACGTCTCTGGGAGGTAAACAATATCGGCGCCCAGCACCAGGTCCCAGTCTGATGGGAACCTCATGTGGTCCTCACCCCATGACAGAGGGAGGACAGTGGGAGGGGCAGAAGGCCAACCGCTGGATGGCATGTTGGCACAGACGTTGGCTTCAAGCTGTGGAAGAGTCAGAGGAAGGTCTGTGAGGGTCACGTCTGCACCTATAAGTAAACAGGAGTAAAAAATATTTAGTTTTGTTGAGAAAAAAATATTAAGAACAGGAAAGTAAATATTCACGACGCCCAGGTTTTGATCAAATCAAATCATTATTTAAAACGTACTGTCCTTGAATCGTACCGTACCACATATATCAAGATACTGTACAGATTGAATTGTCTTTTATGAGAGAGGTATAAATCAGTTTGGTAGTTCTGATAGTTTGCCGTTTCTTTGAATTTTATTATCTTGAATAGTTTGAGCTTTGGTCCGCTTTACACGCTGTTATACATGAATAAACATGACAAATGCTACAGACGTACAATATTGAATTGTAATCCCACTAAATCAAACCAGATCCAATCATTTCACTTGTAAATGTAATGTTCTTGAATGGTTAACATGTATCGAGATACATATCAAATCATCCTTTATTGGAGAGATGCACACGCCTATTTTAAATTACAGTAATACTTAACGACAGTTATAATTTAATAAGTACCCGCGGCAAAAAAAAAAGCTAGACGTAGAGAGATATAATTGCCAATCGCCTTATAAACATCCTGTCTGAACTTTATTTCTCACCCATTTCCTCTTTTTTATGGCGATACAGTATTGCTAGAGCCGCCTCAAAATGTTGTTTCTCAATAAGACCACTAGGAGGCACAATTTCCCATTGCAGATTTTGGTAGAGTACAGTACTGTAATGCGTCTGAGGGTCAGTCGTGTGCAGTTCCGGGGACCAGATGTACACTATTTTTTTGTGATCAAGTTCAATCGCATTCGGCCTCGTTGCTCATTGTGTGGGAACCATAGGCTAGTTCAGTTCAACCAACTATCTCACTGTGTAACGTGAGGGTTAAACATGCATCCAATTTCTCTATGGAAAAACACTAAGTAGTACGGTAATCAAGGTTAAGAAAATAAGTAAAAATAAACTGTTTCTGAAAGAACATCGATACGAAAATGGATTGAATAAAACGAAAACTAACCTAAAACTAGATCTTACATTTATAAAACGGATTATAACTCATTATAATTACAGCGAAAATGTCCTTAATTTTCATCTTTGTCAATTACTGTGATACATGACCTCTCAGAGTTCATTAATGTATTTATTTCGGTTTTACTGTCCGTCCGTACAGCAGAAGTAAGGTCAAACAGTTGTTTGAAATTTGAAGTATTGGCAAATGAACCTTTTTTTTTTAATTATTTTGCTTTCAACAAAAACTTTGTATTAAAAAGACTCGCATTAAAACTAATAAAAACTAAACTAGAATAACATTTTGGAAAAAAAAGAACAAACTCGCTCTAAAAACTAATTTAAACTACTACTACATAAAATATCAAACTAATTCAAATAAAAAATCCAGAACTATAATAACCCTGGAGGTAAATGAGCATGCCTTTTTGTGCCACGTAACGTTCGTAACGTCGAAACATCGTAAACCAAGGACCACCTAGACTTCAGACAAACTGACAGAATGAGGTGCCTAAAATAAAAATAAAAATAACATAATGCAATGACCCGAATATGCCACACACGGTGTCATCACACCCCATACCAAGACGAGCAGCCAAAATCCCAACGACACCAGTTCCCGATCCCAGCTCGATGACGCGTCTCCCACGCCACTCCACGTGTTGCTCCCCAAAGTAACGGCACAGTTGCAAAGCCTGTGTGCGCACACGTGTGCATGTACATATGTACACGCGCACATCGCAATCAGCAATTTAGCATGTGTGCAAAGTCGACATTAGGTGATGAAAAGAGTTCTTACGGATTCCCACACAGGAGCAGCCACGCCGAGGTTTGCACCGAATAACTGGATGATCTTCAGCTCCTGGCCCAATAATTTATAAACGCTGGTCTGAGAAAACGTGTCAGCGAACAAACAGTCGTCAACGGGAAAGGGGTCGTCGTCATTCACACAACAACTCATCGTTCTTGATTGATGGATAGAATGGGGAAAAAAAAAACCGTTAACCGTAAAAAAAAAAAAAAAAAGTGCAAAGTGTAGTCCACCACATTTTCCGGGTCAGTTAGAGGTAGCTCATTAACTCAGCTTTCGATTGTTCATTTCGACAAGAAGCGGAAAGTTAAACACGATGGATTCCAGTTGAGTCCTTGTAAAATGAGAGTCGACGCGTTCGAGTATTAAACACATGATTTGCAATTCATTCATAAAGATCAACAATGTTTTCATTTAATAGCTGATTTTTATTTTGAAAGGCAAAATAATCATGTTTATGTTCCGGGTCGGAAGAGGACCAGTCCAGATGGTTACACGTATGCACTACCCACGTACATATTCCCAAATAATTTTCTTCAGTCAGCACCATATTTCTGTAGTACATTTATGAACTTCACAGTTCGCCAATTGGCGTATTGTTGTGTAATTGGTCAATTTATATCACTATTATAAAGCAGTACATGCGACAGTCCTCGTTCAATGCGGACTTGTACGTAAACCGAAACGCGCACGTTAATCAGAATTGGCAACCCTGTACATAAGTAGAACTTTGACGAACCGATACTTGGGTAAAAAGACTGGTTAAAGTTTCAACTCCCTACATTTAAGTAGAATAAAAACCATTAAGTGAACATAAACGTCACCGTTGAATCAATACAAATAAAAAAAAGCCGCATTTAAAATTGTTTCCCCGTTATTAGATTGCACTACCGCTGTAGTCACTTTCGTTATCACTCAGTGTCCTCACTTGTCCACATTGAGGTCCAATTCATCGCATCGGCATAGAGAAGTTCTTCAATGCACTCAATAAATGAGCTTCACCATCATGTTGCAGGTTTATTTAAAAACAACTCCCCACACGAGTACCAATTGCACATTTTTTCACACACAACTTCACATTAATAACAGAAATGATTTAACGTGTATACAGTATATATAAAAAAAAAAACGAGCTGCAATGCAAAGCTTCTACCTTCACATGTCAAGTGTGTCATTCATACATAATTTCTCAGAGAAGCCATGGCATTCTTGAGGACGTCAGCACAAGCATCCTTCTTGACATGTGGAATACTTGCTAGACAATGACAAGTCCTTTCAAACAACAGAGTGGGAGAAGCTCCGGTTCTGGCATGGCCTTTTGTACTACCTCCCGAGGGTCGACTGTGACACTCCGTATTCTGTGTGCTGCATTTGATACAACAGACTCTTTAACAGGCAGCGTAAAAGTGGCTGCTGAAGACGGAAAACTGAACGGGCTCATCAACTCGGTTCCCTATTTTGCTTACGGAACAGCGATGCAGAAAAATGGCAGCTTTGACAATGTAAAGGGGGCCACTGACGACGGTGGCTAGTCACTAAGCAGCTCACATGAGGCGCAACGGGGGCGGTGTGTGTGTGTTGCCCAAGGACACTTCTAACAGCGGCCACGCTAACCCGACAGTGGAATACAGATCCGTCAAATAAAGCTCATCATCCTTTCAGCATATCAGTCTTTATAGATCAACAGAGCAAGAACAAAATCAGAGCAGAATCAAACATAACCCGGTCGCAATGTCGCTGGTTGTCTGGGATGGATCACAGTTTTCTTCGTGAAGTGACGAACATGAATATTCAAGCTACTTGTTTGACCAAATACACCGTGTAGGAATTCTGCCGCTCTGGATCATTTGCAGTTTTAAAAAATAAATAATTCTTTTCATCGTACAGATGACAGTAGTTTTACATCCATAACACCTTTCTCTTGCTCAGGCCTCAAGTATGTGCAAACTGCAGGTAATAAAAGGTAGCACTCAATGCAGGGACTGTGGGGGTCATGGGGGGCTGGGGGGGGGGATTTCAAATAAAGCAAAAATATATGGATGACAAATGGGTGATTTTTAAAATGATGTGATGGATCAGGCAAGCAGCGGTACTTGCAACCACTTCAGTACCATGAATCCAGAACATAAAAAAATGTTACATCATCAAAAAGTTGCACTTAAACCGTAGAAATCATTTGGTACTGAACTGTTGCAATGTTTGGTGGTGTTCTCACCGACTAACGGTAAAAATACTGCTTTTCTCTGATTGCTAACCCCATTTTCACATTGAAATGATGCAGAGACAATTCTGCTGCGACATCATCACATGTGTCTCCACTTATGTATGCCGTCAAGTGTTTTCTCTTGAGAACGATAGACAGATATGCCAACACGGTCAAGTATGAGCCGAGACAAATACGTGTGAGTCACAATCATACTTTTGATTGTTTCTTTGATTTAGAAAAAAAAAACCCACGTCGGCACAGCCCAAAGCACACCAGAAAACTGACATGGAATTTCACTCTTCCCACTTGGTGTGAAAGAAAGGCTGTCAACTTGGTTTTGAGCAGAGGTCCACGACAAACGTTCAGACAGAGAGCAAAAAGGAATGTAAGATTAAAACTTGGTTGAAAAAAGAATAATAATTAGAATGATGACTATGACAAAGAGGATCAAAATGACCAGCATCTTCCTGTTTTTCTTCTGGTACTGCTCTGCCTGCAAACAAGGAATCGCGATCAAATGCCATCCACGCGACTGGATGCCACAAGTGCCCACAAGAGACCGGCTTTTTTACCTTTTGTAACTGTTTCAAGCCATCGTCTGTTTTGACACACGCTTGTTCCACATTGAAGTCGATTCTGTCGAGAACGGTGCCCTTGAGGAACGACGGAAGACTATTTTACAAGTAGAACTTTGAAAAGCAGGTGCCACTCGACTGCTTTGATTTCGGTTCTGGTCGAAGGATATTTTGGGCGGGGATGGATGTACAGTAATTACCTGCTCCACCACCATTCCGGCCAAGTCGCGGAAAATCTCGTTCAGGTCCGAGATGGACTGAACGATTTGTCTGATCTCTCGCTCTCGCTCTTCCACCATGACTGTGTTTTGCTCCACCAGCATCAACTGGTCGTCGGTGAAGCCCTGAAACGCAACCGTTGGATGAGAAAACATTTGAGTGCACAAATGCAAAGTATGCCATTGAGAGTTGCTATGATTACTATGATTTTTTTTTCTTTTTTTGCAATGGAGAATACATATTAGCACCACAATCATTTTTATTTAACACAACATCATGTGAGTGGTGGAGGGATTAAGTCGGCCAACGTTTGGGCCCTTTTTCTGCTGCTGTTCTTTTTTTTGCATGCAGGTCACCTGTACAAATAATTCTTGGCTGACATTAAACCAAGCCCATATTAAATGTCATTCGTTGAGGTAATCTGAAAGACTGATTGCATTTTAACAAATCCCCACCTTGTCATACAAAGCTAGATCTTCGTCCTCTTCCATTAACGGTCCTGAGTCAAAAAAGTGCTTTGATCGCTCCTCACGATTCTTCATGCCTGCGAGATATCACGATGACAGTTCAGTGAGCTCGAATGAACACCTCTTCGACACACGTTTATGATAAAAAAATAAGGCTTACGTTTTAAGTAGCTGGACTGCGTGTGCCTGAAATTGATGGACAGCTCCTGAAGACTCTGCGCCAGAGACGACACCACATTTCTAAGTAGTCGCTCCTCCTGCTCGGTGCAGTGGCCGCAGCGAGACTGCAGGCCCGTTACAGCTCGCTGACATCGGTGGAACATCTGTAGTCAACACAAAAGTCCGAAAAGAACCGTGAGCATTTTGGATGCAGACCTTAGGACAGAGTTGTGTTTCTCAAGCTGGAGCCGGAACACATATTTTACATTCGAAAAATCTCATGGCACACCATCAAACCAAAATCAAGACAAATGATTTTAAACTCTTTTGCACAATTAGTGTGACGTATAACCAGTATGACTTAAATGTCAACATAAGCAATAATGAAATAATGTGGTCGCAAACCCTCCTTGGAACTGGGATATGGCCAGATCCAGAATGAACCAGTCACATTCAAGCTCATGTTAAATGGCAGGCAGTAGTACTCACCAGTCACCTTGCCAAGTGCCTCAGATTAAGCCCCCCCAAACGTTCAACCATGGACTAATCAAACCAAAAACAAATTCTCCTAAATTCATGAGGAAAAAGTGTTCTGGTACTATGAAAGAAGCGATGCCTGTGAAAGTCTACTGGAACATCTCAACTTTATTTGGGGTTAATCAGAGGCACGTGAAATGGTGGCAGGCGTTCGCTCGCCTTGGTTTGAATATGATTGGGTAATCCTCAACAGAGTCACATTACAGTTATGATTTATTTGTTTTTAAAAAGTAGAGAATTTTTTTCTCTTGGTCTTGTTTTTGTTAAATCACAAAAATACCATTTGAACAGGATTTTTTTTTTTATCCACTGTAAATGAAAACAAGTCGGCTACATTATTTAATAGAAGAGCGTGTCATTATTCTGCCCAAGCTGCGCACCTGTGTGATCTCCTGTGTTGTGATTTCGATGGCGTGCTCTTCTTCACTGCTGTCATCCAGCGTGGGTCGATTCATGTGCTTATCGTGAAGCAATGCCAGGTCCTTCATCTTCTGACGAACCCTTGAAATTTCATACTGGATCTGAAAGGTATCCAAAGTCGGCACTCATTGGCGCTGTCACACGTGATATGGATGAGTTCCGGTTATTTCTGCTCCGGGTTACCTCGTCGATGCCCTCGACCCATTTGGGCGGCAACTTCCTGGTGACGCCGACGGCCGCTTCGGGATCCAGACTGATTCCCGACACCAACGCCATCCGATCGTCAGCCAACTTGAAAACAAGACACTTCCGTTTACAATTTCTAGAATATGGGGATGGATTTCGTGCTTCACAAAAAGTACCGGGGATAACTGTAGCAGGAATCAAAACAATGGTACCTCATCAAGTTCCTAGAGCGATTGGCAGTTAGCAGTGTGGTTCCATCCAATAGCAGGCAAGAAGGAAAAAGAGAGGACAGAAGCAGAACAGAAGTGAGCCCCAGAAATCGCAGCACCGACCACCAAGCAAGGGTTACAAAGACCACCAACAATTACTGTGTAAGACAGACTTTTTTTTTTTTTTTTTAATACATGGCGACAAGTTATATTTTCCAGTTGGTTTAATTTCCCAGTATAATGTGCTAGTATACCGTGGAACTTAAACATTTGAACATCCTCAAAATAATTTGGGCAAGTTTTCACTTTTCCAAAATAAATGCAAGCACAAAATGTTGATAGTTTCAAAGTAGTTTCATGAGGGTGACAGTTGGACGCTGGAACTAATAAGATTGTATTACATCCTATGTTGAAGGCTCGACTGCATTTAACTAGATGTATCCATGTTTGTTTACTGAGTTGCTTGGCTGTGATCGATGTGATGGTTTCTTTACGGTGAAACATTTAGAACAGCCAAAAGCACATAGACACAACAGCAGAAGCGGATTAAACAGAGATAAAATAAGACATCAAACATCACATTTGGATGGGCACTGTTTGTTTGCGTGTACGGGACAACCTCGGGGCAATCAAGACAACATGAAGAATGAATAGTAAGAGAGCTTTGCTGTGGTCTTCTGCTTATGCAGTGCAGAAGCCACTCGGTTCAAAGTGTTCATGTTCATCACTGCAGTTGCCACGATAAACACACTCATCATCCTTGTCGGCTTGCGTTTAATAATGCATAATGCACATTTGTACTAGCATTTTTTTTTCACCAATCAAAAGGGGAAAAGGCTCCCCACCACTGCCATTCAGCATGATATAAACTGTTACAGTCTTAACTGTACCATGAAATAGGCAATGAATGGAAGCAGCTGCATTCATTTGTTCATGAAAATGTTTTGGGGATTTCAGTACAGATTGAGCAAACGCGTCCTCGCGTGTTTTAATTGAAGATGGTTATCAATATGTTCAACTCGTTGTTTGCAGGCTAGTAAGCTTTATTTGCTCACTTATTAGCTACACCCCCCCATACTCCCTCCCAATCAATTATCCTCCTGACACATAAATCAGTCCTGAGGTGAACTACCGTGGCAACGAAATAACAATGACGGGAATCTGTCCTAATAACATTTACGAGACAACCACTCGACTCAAGTCTAGCTAGCACAGGTATGACTGGCTATATTTCAAACACACACGCACAAGTAAAAATGTCAAAACGATGCAGACCACTCACCGCAGCATTGCTACGTGTACTCAGACGGGGGTCGTTTGTACTCACTTGCTCAGCCAATATCTGCCGGTTTTGGATCGCATTGTTCCGCAATAACAAGAAGGCATCTGTCAGACGCCGAGTGGCCATGACTCATTAGCTACGAGTGTTACACGCCGACAACTAAAAGGTGTGCGGCTCGGCTAAGTCTTGCTAGCTTTAGCTTTAGCCTCCCCGATGGAAAAAATAATGGGGGGCAACTCGCGATACAACGCCGATGGGACAATGAAGTCTCGTACTGCTATCTATATTATTTCCAATACCCTACGCCATTTTCGACAAACATTACCGCCACGGAAATGTGGAATTAATGTCAAATTGGCAACGTCGTTCCTCTTCAGACTGATACCGGAAATGATAAGACGTATACACCTGCGTTTGCGTGAAGCCATTCTTAGTCTACTATGATAAGAGCGAGCGCTGGCATGACAAATAAAATAGAGCGCAACCTACTGGGCAAAAATAATAATAATAATAACAGCTATGGCGTACTTCACCTGTCCTGGGCCAGTTTATTGATTTAAAAATAATAGTTATAGTGTTCATTTGAAATATGTAAAATTGTTTATCTCAATTAAACAATTCAATAATTTATGAATATACATCGTTTTTGTTTTAAGTTTTTATAGTACACTACTACACTGGGGGAGGACAGTTGTAGATACACTTATATGTGGCTTCTTTACTTAACCTGGATATATACAATAGAAATCATAATAATGATACTACCACCACCATTACTACTACTACTACTACTACTACTACTACTACTACTACTACTATTATTGCTATGTTGTACTACAGGCAACAAAAACAACAATAAGAAGAAGAAGAAGAAGAAGAAAAATAATTATAGTCATCAACGTCATCATCATCATAATCCTAAAAAATAAATACCTAAATGATGTTAATGATTATTAACATTTTAATTTCTGTGAAATAGAAGAAATATTGGCCGCATGGTTGACTGTCGGCTCTGGGCTTCTTATGTGGAGTTTGTGTGTTGCCCCTATACTTGTGAGGGCTTGCGTGCTCTGGTTTCTTCTGTCATCCATTCATAATAAAATGAGGACAGTATACAGTGGCTGCAGGAAGGAGTCAAAGAATAAAACAATGTGAGGGAAACGTTTTTTGAGAAGACGCCTACCAGTCTTTATTCTTGGACTGATTTGAAGCCACACTCGGGAACAAGGAAACTTTTCTTATGGCCTGTGACTGGACAATGCCTAAGAAATTATCATTAGCTTTAATCTATCACCTGTCAACCACAAATTGGAAAAAAATATCTACCATACAATGCCTGCAATTACTGCACAAATATAATACATGTTTTATTATTGTTGCAAAGGGTTATAGCTATGTATATACCATTACTGTCACTCGTCTGGGTCTGGGGTGTGTTAACACCTTTCATCAACTACAATGCTGTAATTGTATGGTTGGGTGATTCTGCAGGTTTGAAATGGACTTTTCTCTCTCTAAGTATTTGAAGTTGTCTATACTGTTATCATACAAGACTCTCACTTTTTACAATAGTCTTCAGTCTGTCCAATTATATTTTAGTGCATTTGTATGAAATTCCACTCCTTTGGTGTCATCCATCCATCCATCCATCCATCCATCCATCCATCCATCCATCCATCCATCCATCCATTTTCTACCGCTTATCCGGGGTTGGGTCGAATCAAAATGTAATTTAATTCACTGAATTTGCACATTGATAATACTATGGCAACTGAGGGAAATGTGGCAGACACGGTTGGGTAACTTAAACTAATAAGGGGTTTACTTAATAACGCTATTTCGGGTTGACAACGAGGGTGTCTTCTTGCTTGCCAAACATTGAGCCGACATTTAGCTCTACTGCTGTGATTTTAATGATATTTTAAGTTTTTTTCGGCCTCCCTTATGTCAGCTTTAAGCCTTTATAATTATAAAATGTGGCATCAACTTGGCAAATGATAAATCAACATTCATTGCTAGAAACAGAATTAGTACAGTAGTTTTTAAACTTTTTTTAATTTATTTATTTTTACAACTAATGACTTGTATGCCCTTAGTACTGTATGAGGAATTTATGAATGATGATTATAAAGTGGCAGCCAAGTTTCTTTTTCATTCATACATCATTTGTCTATCAATGAAAAAGCGTTTGCGTTATCCGCTTGAGTTCCCATTGATTGGCTTTGGCACTGCCGGAGTTATCATGTGGTAAAAGGCTCCACCTCCTCCTGCTGCCCTGCTTAATCCCTGACATCCTTTTAATACCGAGGCAGACGAGACACTGCTGTCGTTTAACAGAGCTCCGTGATCCGAACATCAAGCTGAGACCAGGTGAGCATCTTGAATGGGGTTTGAGGGCGCCAGGGGTCTGAAACACACGCGGAGAAGTCAACTTATTCTAACGTATTGTCTGTGTGTTCTGTTGTGGCTCATTTTAAATGCTACACTAATTTACATGATCTTGATTGACAGAGTTGCCTCGTTTCACGCGACACCGTGTTTGCCTCCTCGTGCGAAACCCAATTTCTTGATTTAAAAATGTCGCTGGTTTGAATTATGATTTCACTAATAGGGTGTGTTCAATTTACTACATTTGCGCGTAGCTTGAGGAATGGAGGGAAACCAGTTTCAGGAGTCACTTCAAAACCCGGAAATTAAAGCCCTGTTGTACGAACAACAAATGCATGCCTAACTTTGCTGTTTGAATGTGTAAAGTTTCTGTCCTCCATCGTTTGCATCGCTCTGTATCCCAGATGGCGTCCTCTGAGGATACAGAAGATATTCTAACGCCTGTGGATTTTATCCAGCTGCAGGAATACATGCAATGTAAGTTTCACTTTGCTTTTACTACTTAGAAATGGCAGTATAGGTTAAACATAGTGTATACACGTGTGCATACGTGTATACAGTTACAATTATTGGATTTTTAAGCAGTAAACAATCACTGATTTCGTAATTACTTTGCAAGTCAAGCAAACACCACCACAACACATTTTATTAATGCGGGAGTTCATCGTAGAAAGGGTTCTGTCAGTCGTCATCTGTACCTGTGGGTAAAAAACAAAAAAAGCAAAAAAGGACGTTTCGCTTCTCTCACAGAAGCTTCGTCAGCGGTAGACAACCCTGAAGTCTCCGTGAAGACTCCGGGAAGTTGCTCTGCGCTAAAAAAGCTGAGCGTGGCCTGTTGAGGACTGGGTGGGGATGGTTTCTCTCACAGAAGCTTCGTCAGCGGTAGACAACCCTGAAGTATCCGTGAAGACTCCGGGGAGTTGCTCTGCGCTAAAAAAGCTGAGCGTGGCCTGTTTAGCGCAGAGCAACTTCCCGGAGTCTTCACGGAGACTTCAGGGTTGTCTACCGCTGACGAAGCTTCTGTGAGAGAAGCGAAACGTCCTTTTTTGCTTTTTTTGTTTTTTTTGTTTTTTACCCACAGGTACAGATGACGACTGACAGAACCCTTTCTACGATGGAACTTTCCTGTACGACTGAGAGCCTCCACAAGCATAATGCGGGAGTTGCAATGTTATTGAGCATACTGTTTTGTGAGTTCTTATTGAAAATCACAGCAAATTAGTCCATGCCGAGTTAAATGGTGTCAGAGTAAATGCTAAATTGCATCGACCTTATTGACGGAGCAACAAACATACCGTCAAAGGCTTTGGAAAAAATATAATGTGTAACTGGGCTTTTAGTTTTGGTGAGGATAATGCTTGAATAGATAACTACACGCATATTTCCCTTTATTACAACAGGAGCCAAAGTCAGATTAGGTGCGTGATGTAATGTGTGCACAAACAAGGATGAGCATCCAAGCAATGCACGTGTGATACATATGGAGATTGCATGCACTTTATTATTATTTTTATTTTTATTTTTTGGCAGACAGCACTTTAAAGGTGAAAGATGTTATCGGAGAGTTTGAGAGTGGAGGTCGGCTGGCCCAGCACAGCTCTCGAGAGGTCAGTTATGCAGAAGCACCTATGAAAACACCCCTCATGGTTTACCCTTGCATGGTCTGCCATAGTGAGGTCACATACTGTAATTCAACACGACAAATGTTCTGCAAAAATAAAAAACGTGTCATTCGAAAAGGGTCAAAAGCTTGAATAGTTAACAAGCCTGTGGGTGGAAATGATTAGCTAATTCAAACTTTCGCAAGTTATTTAATCATTTGTTGCGGCTTCATTAGCAGCATGAGCAATGAAAGGGCAACAATTTGGATTACATGACACTTCTAAAGACTCTTGCGTATTATTGTTGCCACTCTGTGTCATGACACCTTTGTTTGATTTCTTTGTACAGTATGTGGATGCAGAAGGATTCAGCCTGTTCCTCAAGACCTACCTTGAGGTCGACGACTTTCCTGCGGATTTCTGCCAGCGCCTTTTCCGTTACTTCCAAAATGTCGAGCAGGATGGGTCCACGACGACAACCCAGGCCAAGGGTAAATAAGTTGATGCCGAGTGCACCTGCAGACCACATATCTGCATCTCTGCGCACCACTTCACAAAATGTTGAACAGCTAAAACAGCTTTTTTTTTTTTAAATTGTGACATTATTCCAATTTAAACATTCCTAAAATTCACACCCTGAACCGTGATTGGTTGTCCTGAGTAACTGTGATGTCAATGTCAGTTGAGCGAGCAAGTGACAAAATGGCCGTCCCCAGAGATGGATAAAAAGGGGTGGATTTTGCTGCCTAATTCATGCTCCCCAAATGCAATATTCATCAGAATACCGTGTTTAGACTAGTGGACCCACATAATACATATTGTTGTAAAGAAAAATTTTGACTTGACTTTCCCTTTAAGATCGATTTCTTGCTTGTTGTGGGGTTTTTTTTTTCTTTTTTTTTTTTTTTTTCTCCAGGAGGAGTGTTTCTCCGTGACATGTCCTGTTACTTCTCAGTGCTGGAAGAAGGGCAGCCACGGGAGAAGCTGGAATGTTAGTTAGCTTCTCAATGTTTTGTGACATGTCTATTGTGACTCAGCTGACATTTTATTTCCATGAGAGAGAGACATTGAGAATGTGTAAAATCATGTTTTTTCATTTGCGTTTTCAGTTACTTTCAAACTTTATGACAAAGATGGTAATGGACACCTGGATAGCTCTGTAAGTCTCTCCGATTAGCATGATGATGTGCTATGCAAACGCTGTTCCAATGAATGGACAGTTTCCGAGACACACGGATGGGTTCTTTTGTTTCTCCTTCAGGAAGTGGATCGGATCATCACGCAGATGATGCGAGCGGCTGATTACCTCGGCTGGGATGTGGCTGAGCTCAGAACTGTAGGAACACATTAAATATATGTATTTATTAAGGATAAAAGGTTCGGAAAATGGATAGATGAATCGACGGATTTCTGGAGATTCCGATTTTTTGTTTTTTAATTGTTG